CACGTTGCAGGGAGTTCACGTTGCAGGGAGTTCACGTTGACGGGGAGGCGCAGCTTGGAAAAGGGGGGGAGTGATTGTGTACGTCTGATTGTCTTCAGCGTCCCCACACTCCACATGTCAAAACTCGAGTCGGGGTGTGCCCCGTCCTGTGCCTTCTCAGCAGCGAAGAGCAGTAACCCTGTGAAAAAGCCCCGTGTTGACGAGTGAGGCAGCCATTGTTTGGCTTCTCATCCATCTTTTTTTTTTGCCCCCAAACTGCTCAGAATTGGGTGATGAGAAAGAAACCCTCGCCACTGGTTGTTACAGCAGCCACATGAGGCCTGACAGCCGCGGCAGGGGAGACGGCTCACTGCTCCGTGGTGCAGAAGGCACCCTCATCCCAGGAAGGCTGGTCTGTGACACGTTTTTAAATTGTGTCTTTGGTGAAGAAGCACCTGGTAGTTTAGGTTCCCATTCAACCATTTCTACTCAAAACCACTTGGCCACTCTGGTTCCGTTTTTTTACCCCAACACGTGAATGTTCTAGGTTTCCATTCTGGTGGTTTTGTTTCCATCCATCTAGTTTCCCGCTCCCCGCAACATTCTCACCTATGTTTGGAAGGAGCTCATTGGCTCCTGGACAACACAGCTTTTGAGCTGCGGACGGACGCAGTCACCATCAGGGAGAATGACAGATAAAGCGACGGATGAGATGGCCTTGTGCTTGGATGGTGGAGGGTGTGGTGTAGAGAGAGACAGACAGACGGAGTCAGGAAGATGCTGATGTGCCCACGAGTGGAGCATCCCTCTGAGCCACCTGCTGTCCCCTCCCCAGGGCCCTCCCGCCGCAGTGACCTCCAGACCCTGGGCTACTGCTTGCTCAAGTGGCTGTACGGGTGCCTGCCCTGGACAAACTGCCTCCCCAACACCAAGAACATCATGAAGCTGAAGGAGAAGTGAGTCTGGGAGCTGGAAGGCGGGCAGAACTCGGAACCAGGCGGGGACTGCAAAGGCGAGGGTGGTGGCCATCAGACGTGTCACTCACGGCTCGTCCAGCCCAGCAGACAGGGCCATGGACTCCGGGACCACAGGACTAGAGTGAACATCCTGCCCAGCTGTCCCTATATCCCAGCACGGGGTACTGTTGAACCCCTCAGAGCCTCAGTGCCTTCCCTGCAGGAGGGGGTCCTGTCAGCACTCACCTCGGGGGTGCAGGAGTTTATGGGGTATCAGGAACTTATGCACGGCGAGTAGCCAGCACAGCATCTGACCCTGAGGCCGTGCTCGCCAGGCCCAGGACGCCAGGACGCTGCTGTCTGGGAGCTGAGCACATAGGCAGGGCAGGCCTGGGTCCCACCTAAACCGGCCCCAGCCATGCGGTGACCACACCTCGGACAGGCACCTGTGGTCTCAATCTGACTCTCTAGAGGAGGGGAGTCCATGAGCTGTGAACCCACAAAGCCCCAGTTTATAGCAGGGTTCTATCTGAAAACTCGTTGTTAAAGTCAGATCTTGGTATAAGTTGAATTGTTTGTTGTTAAGTCCTGTTGAGTCCGAACCAACCCTTAGCTGACCCTCCAGCAGGTTTTTAGAGGCAGTTTAATCATAGAGGAAGAGATTTAATATCTTTCTCCTGCAGAGAAGCTAGTGGATTCAAACTCTGTTCCTTTGAGATTGCAGCGCAGCTTCTTACCACTAGGCCACCTTAAACAAGTTTTTTTCATTGTTAATGCATTTCATTATCACACTCGTTGGAATCCCCCTCACTCTGTGGGCCAGGAAGCCCAACAGTCACCCTCCCCTGCCTTGCTCTTGGTTCTGCCTCTCTGTCACTGTCTGTCTTTCTGCTCCCTCTGACCTTGTCTAGTGTTACAACTCTCACTCTTTGCCCTATCGCTGCTGCAACCCCTTCCCCCCAAGAAAGATAGCAGATTCTCAGCACAGGGACCCAGGGCCAGAAAGACTTAGTTGACTCGCTTTCATCTCTTCTTATTGGTTGGAGTGAGAGCCCCCTCTGGGATTGGCCAGCAGGTTGGCAAAACTGACCAATCCCCTCATCAGGGATCTATGCACCTTATTTGCATAGTCTCACCCATCATCCTTTGGGACTCCCAAGGCCGTGCTGGGCAGGGCTATATAATAAAAGCACTTTATCAGTGTGTGTGTGTGTGTGTGTGTGTGTGTGTGTGTGTGTGTGAGAGAGAGAGAGAGAGATCGGTGTATGCGTTTTCAGTCATCCTGTTGAAGAAGGCTGCCCTCCCATCTCTTAAAGACTTCCCCGTCCTCCTCTCTAACGCCAGGTACATGGACAGCCCAGAGTCCCTCATGGAGAAGTGCAGAAGGCATAACAAGCCCTCAGGTATGTCCTCCAGGGCTGTGGGAGGACAGGTGGGGCTAGGGAAGTACCCCGCTGCCTCAGGTAGATCTTGGGGTTGCCTCTCTTCATGTACCTGTTTTCTGTGATAGTTTCCCCAAGTGCTTATCTAACACATGCCACTGGAGAAAATAACCAAAGCCTTCATACACAGGGAGTCCGTGACCAGCACTACCAAGAATGTAAAAAGCCCACCAATAGCTAGATATTTAACAGTGTGCTGCTCTCTCATTGCTGCTAAGAGTATTCAGAGCCAGGCCTACACCAGCCCATTCTGCACGGACAGTTCAGGGACATTGAGTGATTGCCCTGAGTTATATGAACTGGGAGTCGTAGTGTCCTTTTGTTGAGCTGCTCCTTTCCCCCTAATCCCACTGCCCCCTAAACTTCCCTGTCTCATCTCTTGAGTACCTGTCATCTGGAATCCCATACTGATAGTTCTTTGAAAGCGCACGACGCTGACATAGTTTTGTGGTTTTTTTTTTTTTTAATTTTATTATTTTTGTGTGCGTGTACCGTCAAATCAGATCTGACTGGTACAGGAGGAAATTGCCCCTCCTTCCCCGGCAGAGCATCTGGTGGATTCGAACCGTGCACCTCTGGGATTGTAATTGCAGCTTCTTAACGCTGACATAGTTTTATACCATTTATTTTCCGGTTTTGGATCGCTGTGGTTGGGAATCTGCCCAGTATAATCCACAGAGCGTACAACAATTGCCTGTACCCTCTTCAAGTTGTGTGCTGTTCTCACCTCCTTTTCTGGGTGGACCCTCCTTTTATTCACATAAGCTCACTGTCCCCGAAGGCTCCTGTCTTCTTTTCAGCCACTGTTACTGCTTTGATTGCAAATAAATAGGTTTGGGGGGTTTTTTATTGTTTTGGGTGTTGTTGTTTATTTACTCATTGGGTGCCGTCGTATTGGATCCAACTGGCACAGGAGGAGATTGCCCCTCCTTCTTCAGCAGAGCATCTGGTGGCTTTGAACCATGAGCCTTGAGGATTGCAGTACAGCTTCTTGCCGCAAATATAGTTTTTAAAAGAACGCAGTGCTCTCTAGAAACAGATACTGTTCACAACTAAGCTAAGATGTTCTTAGGTTTAAACAAGGCTTCCTGAGCTATTCTTGTGGTTTAAGATGTAGAACTTATCTCAGGGCCGTGTGTTCAGAGATTCATCCAGCCTCGTTCACTCGATCAAAAGGTCTGGGTTCCATGAGAATTTAAAATTCTGTTCTGCATTTCCCCCCTTTTGATCCGTGTCCTTACTGGGCACCTCTTGCAGGCTGGGTGCACCGTTCAGGTCCTTACTGTGGTTGGGGGGGTTATCTTGACTGCAGAGACCCTGCAGGAGTACCTGAAGGTGGTGATGGCCCTCGGGTACTACGAGAAGCCGCCCTACACCGTGCTGAGGAACAATCTGGAGGCCCTGCTGCAAGACCTGCAGGTGGCGGCCTACGATCCTTTGGACCTGCACATGGCGCCATAGGGGAAGCACGGGGAGAGACACCAGGTGAGTGCACGCCCCGTTCCCCCTGCCCAGCACCTCAACCTCAGTCACCCCCAAAGGCTGGCTACACACTTCACAGACATGGTACAGTGTTTCCCCCACCCTCACCCTGCCCTTCAGTTACTATTTTTAAAATGCAAGTAACTTGGAAAAATACTTAACAGCAAGCATTACTTTATATATATGAATGTAATGTATAGAACATTTCAAATACAAATATCTTATGACCTAAAATTGTTAAGTAAAATGTACAAAATTCCACTTTTGGCGGGGGGGTGCCTTTGGAAAAGAAAGAACATGTTTTGGATTTGCCATCTTAACCATCCAGTAAATTTTTAGTTATGATTTAAAAAAAACTAATGCAAGTAACACAGTGGTTGCTGTTGCGACATTTGCACATGTCCCGCTCAGTGAGACCGATTGCCCAAGCCCGGTGAAGTAACCCCCAGCCACGCTGTTGCCCCGTCTCTGTCGCCATCAACAGAAAGTCAGAGCTGCCCTCAGTGCCCCTCCCCTGCCAGCTGCCTCATCTCTGTGCATTTGCTTCTGTAGGTGGTTGATATTACTGTCCTTGTGTTTAGGACTGTCTGGTCAACTACAGCTCACAGGGACCCTTGTCCAGGCCTGCGCCGTCCCACCCCTGGCGACAGGCACCATGGCAGGCCGTCTCCCTGAGGGTCTTCCTCTCTTCTCTGACCCCCCACCTTCCCCAGCATCATGTCTCTCCAGGGACTAAAGTTTCACCATCCTTGACTCTGAAGATCGCCTCGGTTGTACTTCCTCCAAGACCTGTCTGTTTATTCTCTTGGCCATCCATGGAATAGTCAGCACTCTTTGCCCCATGCTGCAGTCCAAAGGCATCGTTTCTCTTTGCACATCCTTATTCATTATCCAACTTTCAGTCACATAGAAAGCGATTGAAAATACCATGGCTTGGATCAGGCACACCTTGGTCCTTCAAATGACATCATTGCTCTTTAGGTCCTTTGATGAGTTGTATTATGTGTGTCCTTTTGTGATGGATTTCACGCAGCATGATGTTTTCGGGCTCATCAGAACTTCCTTTCTCGATGGCAAGGTGGTATCCCATTACATGTCTCGATCACGTTGTGTGTCTGTTTGTCCCTCGATGAAGCCCTGGGCTATTCAGTCCTCTTGACTGCTGTGGTCAGAGCTGCAGTGAACACGAGCGTCCACACAGACGCTATTGGATGCGGAGAGCTGGGCCCAGTGCCCCCGTCAGATCTGGGTAGTTCACGGAGCTCTTGAACCTTCTAAACCCCAGGAATTGCAGGTAGTAGACACTCACTTCAAGTTGACTTGACGAGAAAGCAGAATCAGTGGTTTCTGGTGGCTCTAGAACTCCCAGGAGGGGATTTTCAGCATGGCCTGGCAGGGACAGGGCCTTGAAAGTACTGTCAGGACATTGTTTGGTTATAAAAAGAAGAAAGACGATGTCTGCAGACACCTCTGTCCACCTGGGTGTTCAGGCCAGGTGTTCAGGCCTGGTCATCATGTGGTGGGCGAGTCCAGCCTTCCTGTCAGCACTGCCCGCCACCCTGGTTTCCTAGAACTGCTGTTAACAGGAATACCACAAGGGGGTGACTTTGAAGAACAGAAGTAACATTCTTAGAGCTCTGGAGACAGGAAGTGCAAATTCGGGGCCTCAGTGGGGCCCTGCTCCCTCTCTGCCGGCTCTCAGGCAGGGCCCTCTTGGTCTCTGTCAGCGTCTGTAGCCCTGGGCGTTTCTCTGTGTTCCTTGACTTGCAGCGAGACCCTCACATGCCTCTCCCGCTCTGTGTGTGTGTCTCTGGGGTCTATATTCCCCTTTGTACATCACCCCCCAAGAAGAGAGTAGGGCTGGGGCCCATCCTTGTCTAGTTTGACCTCATACACCTAACAGAAGGAAACCCCTATTTCCAAACCAGGTCTCGTTGCCAGGTGCCCTAGCCAACTCTTTTTGGGGTGCATGGCTCCATCCATAGCACCCACCTTAAGTTACCTTCCTGCTCACCCGGTGCAGCGAAGGTCTCTGTGCAGAAGGGCCCCTCCAGAGAATGCTGGAGTGTGTGACCCGCTCAGCATTCAGGAGTCCCACGTGGACGACAGGACAGGCGAGGTTGAGAACTCCAGGACGCTGTGTGAGACGTCCAAGCCAGCTGAGGCCGTGTCTCGGCTGTGGTTGATGGAGGAAGAAGCTGAGTGCACTGGCCTTGAGCGTGGCCTGGCCTCCCCCTCGCCCTCTCTGCAGCCCTCCGTGCTGTCCCACCCATCCCACTCCATCCACCCTGCACCAGCCAGACTGCCCCCCACTCTGCACTGACCACTCACCCTCCCCTCCCATTCCAGACGAGCTGAGCACCACCCCGCCCCACCCTGGGAGGATCAGACGCTCATTCCCACCCTCTGGACACTTTCTCTCTTCCTTCTGCTCAGCGGGTCCTTCTCATACGCAGCTCGTAGACCCCAAGGTTGCCCCGGGTCACCCCATGAAGCCCCTCTCTCCCTGCCCCCCCCCCCCCCCCCCCCCCCCCCCCCGTTCTCTCTCCACATCTTCCCGCCCAGCTTACAGGGTCCATGGAATTTTCAGCATCTCCACCACAATGGAAACTCAAGTCAGAGGCCTGTCCCTTGTTGGTGACAGTGTCTCTTGGGCTTGCAGGGGACCCAGCCTTCGGGGGGTGGGGGCCTCCCTGGATGACCAAGACATCACCAGCTGTTTTTCATTGTCTTCCAGACCTGCAGTCTACCTTCAGCAAGAGAGAGAATGTGACTCACAGTGTGCTGTTTGATCAGCTAAGCGTCTCGAGCTGACCCTTCAAAGTGCATTTCTGCCACTTCTCAGGTGGCAATTTCTCCCGATAGACATCGGGGAGCCCGTAGGTTTGCCCCAGATAATGTGAATCGCCTCCTTTGACCACCTGCCTGGCCTCTCGGCCACTGGCCACCATCACCAGCCAGCCCCTGGCCGTGTGGGTGGAGGGGACTCCCGGGTGGGGGTGAGGCCAGCCCCTCAGCAGGGACCCCGCCTTCCTTTTCCTCCTGTCGCCATCACTGTGCTTCAGTAATAAAAAGTTCAATTTGAGTTGAGAGGTCTCGCGTCTGCTACACGAGCGTCTGGGGGGTGCGGGGGAATTGGCGCCCAGTTCATCTCCATCATCTCCTCCTCCTCCCCGGCTTCTGTTTGTGCAGCTGTGACCTTCTTCACTTGTCCTTGTGTTGTGAATGTTTGTGTCCGTCAAGACTGATGTGTACAGCTGGCCTCACCCGCTACCTGCACCATGTCCCCACTGTGGCTGTGATTCCGGGGCGCGTGCCTCCCTCCCTCATGCACCCCACCATGAGCTGCACGTCATAGGACTTGCTGCGGCTGGAGTCTCACTGTTGAGTCTGCGAGCAGAGATGGTGGAGAGCTGAGTCCTGCGGGCGGTCAAGGCCTCTGGGTCAGGGGTGGGGGAATAGCTGTAAGTTCTTCAGGGAAAGTTGGTTAATGGCAGCTGGAAGCGGAGGGGCAGATTCCACCGTGAAAGAATCCCTCAGCAGAATTCCTGGGCCGATCCCACAGCTCCATCAGTGTCTGTCCACCTGCCCCGTTCCAGGCCTCGGAATCCCCTGTCTTCCCCACCAGGGCCCTCACTCTGACCACGGATCGCTCCCGAGGGTGCCATCCACCTGTGCGTGGGACGCGATACAGGCCGTGGCTTTCAGTGGTCTCGCTCTGCAGCTCCCGGGGTCTAGATTTCCTTTCCAACGCACGTGCTGTTCTCAGCCCCTCTGGGTGGCATGTGGCCTGGGAATCTGAAGCCCGACTCCTCCCCTTTCTTCCCTCGCTTTGCCCATCAAACAGAAAAGCCACCAGCAATGGCATCACGCTCGTCAGACAGAGACCAATATCCCCAATGTGTCAGATACAGGACTTGCCAGATGTTGGAGACCGAGGGTAAAGTATTTTTATAATTATTAATGATGAAACACCAGGAATGAGACAGAACAGAGAGCATAAAAAACAGGGGGACAGCGGTTCCCATGACTGAAGGCCTCAAGCCATGCCTTTCTGAGTATTTATCGAGAATCATCAGGAAGGTAAACAAAAGAAAGTCATAAGGAAGTACAAAAACAAGGGACCTGGGGAAGTCTTTTGCAGATAAGGCCAAGTTCCTCTATGCTTATCTGTGGAGGGAGGGATTCAGTTAGTACAAACTAAGAACAATGTCCACTCTTAGGGTACATCTTAGTGCCACAGGGTGAATTCTAGCTTGTACTGCACCTCCCTCATATCCTGATACAGCATTTGGTTTATTATTAATATTAAATTTGAAATTCGGCTTCCCACAGCCGGAGCCTCGTGGCTCCTAAGTATTTGGTGGTTGTGAGGTGACGCCGAGTCAGGTACAGCTCACAGTGACCCTGTAACAGATTGGAACTCTGCCCGGCGCCATGCCAGCCTCAGGGTCTCCTCGCGCTCAGTCCACGGCTGCTGTCACCGTGCCAGCCCATCTCGTGGACAGCCTCCGCCCTCTCACGGACCCTCCACCTTCCCCAGCATGAGATCTTCGTCCAGGAACTCGTGCCTCCTGACAACTTGCCCAAGTCAGTGTGTGAGTGGAATGAGGAGGTGATTTCCTAATCAGCGCTGGTGGCCTGGTGGAAGGGAGCTGTGCTGCCGTCCCAGAGACAGGCAGTTCAAGTCCACTAGGAGAAAGATAGGCAGTCTCCTCCCACGCAGCTTACAGCCTCAGACCACCCGCTGGAGGGTCAGCTGTGAGTCTGTTTGACTTGGTGGGATGAACCAGTCAGTGTTTAGGAAGCTCTGGGGCCGTGGGGCCTCAGGGAGCTGGCCTCCTGACCCACAGGTGACACCTTGGGCGGAAATAAAGGCCCGCAATAATGAATGTCATTATTAAATGCAGACAAATTGAGGATGACCCCGTGAACAAAAGATCTGAACTCTGTCCTGTGCCATCTCGACCATCCTCGATACATTTGAGTCCTTTGTCACAGATACCACGTCGATCCGTCTCATTGAGAGTCTTCCTCTCATCAGCTGACTTTCCCCCCTTCCAAGCGTGATTCCCCCTTTTCCAGGGACTAGACTCTCCTCACATGTCCTAGCAACAGCTTTGGACATGTAACTAGGAGAGGCTGTTCCTTGGAAAGGGACCTCATGCTTAGAAAGGTGGAGGAGGGTCAGCAAAAGAGAGGAAGACACCACCCCCCCAAAAGAGGTGGATTGACACGGTGACTGCAGCTGTGACCTCGAGTGTGTCAGGGTTGAGGAGGCTGGCACAGCATAGGAAGAGCTCAGATCAGTTGTTCGTAGGGTTGCCATGAGTCAGATTCAACTTATAGGCACCTAACAACAATATGTCCAAAATCTATGAGACGAAGCTTCACCAACTCTGCCTCCAAGGAACATTCTAGTTGCACTTTCCCCAACACATGCCAGGGGTCTCTGGTGGGTTGTTCTTATTGTTATGTGCCATCGAGTCACTTGTGACTTATAGCGACCCTATGTACAACAGCCCTAAACCCTGCTCTATCCTGTGCCAATCGCACCACCTCTGATACACCCATCCCGAGTACCCCAGTCACTGAATCAATCCACCTCATACAGGGTCTTCCCCTCCTGCGCTGTCCCTCCACCCTCCCAAGCATGATGTCCCTCTCCAAGGACCTGTCCCTCCTCACAATATGTCCAAAGTATGTCAGATGGAGCCTCAGAATCCTTGCCTCCAAGGAGCTGCCCAGTTTGACCCTTTCCAGGATGAATCTGTTTGTTTTCCTAGCAGTCCATGGTAACCTCAATGCTCTTCTCCAGCACCACAACTCAAAGGCATCAGTTCTCCTTATAACACAAAGGTACGTGGTTCAAATCCACCGTATGCCCCTTGGAAGAAAGATGAGCATTCTCCTCCTGTGCTGTTTACAGCCTCTGAAAACCTGCTGGGGCATCAACTATCAGATTCAACTTGAGGGTAACAAATAATATCACCGGTGACTCCTGTGAGCAAAATGGTCCAGAGGAGGCCAGTTATACAGTTAAGACAAAGATGAGAATATAAGGTGGGGGGGGGTAGGGAAACTAGATTAATGGAAAGAGAACAACCAAATGGCAATGAATGAAAATGTTCACACATATAGAGAGTGTAACCAGTGTCACTCAACAGCCAGCTAGACCTTTCAGAAGCAGATGCCCCGGGTTTATTCTGAGCTGCCTCTGAGTGGGTTTGAACCGCCATCCTTTTCATTAGCCATGTCCTTAATGACTTGCCCCACCCAGGGACTCCTAAAGAGTAACACACAGGGTCTTTGTGAGGAAGTAACCCAGGTTGATCACCTGTGGAGGGGAAGGAGGAGGACTCTGGGGCAGAGGGACGGTAAACAATCCTGAGAGCAGAGCCTGGGGTCGGAGTAGACCCCAGCCGAGCCAAGATGACAGTTCTTGCCTCCCTCTCCATATTTCCTTTCAAGGAGTGTGGTCTGTCCCTTTGGGGATGTAACTTTCTAATAAATATGGCTTTACTATTTGACCCTCAAAAAGAAAACTAAAAATGACAGGGTCTTAAAACCAGTGAGCTTCTGGCATGGACCAGGACCTCCTTTTGGTGTGTGTGTGGTCTTGGCTTACTGGTACTGACATAAATACCACAAGTAGATGGCTTTAAAGAACATGAATGTGTTTTTTTTATAATTTTTTAAAACTTTTTTCTTGTGGTGTACCGTCAAATAAGATCCAGCTGTCATAAGAAGAGGTTGCCCTTCTTTCTCCAGCAGAGGATTTGAACCATGTGCTTTTGGAATTGCAACACAGCTTCTTATCACTAGGCCACCAGAGCTCCCATGAATGTATTTTGTCAGGAGACTAGAAATCCACATCGGAGCATGTGTTCTGGGGCGCCTCTCCCTGTTGGCCCTGGAGGAAAAGCCTGCTCGCGCTCTCTCTCTCTCTCTCTTTTTAAATTTTTTATTATTTTGTGTGTGTGTATGTGTGTGTGTGTGTGATCAAATCAGATCTGACTGGTACAGGAGGAGATTGTTCCTCCTTCTCCAGCAGAGCATCTGGTGGATTCGAACCATGCACCTCTGGGATTGCAGTACACCTTCTTGCCCCTAGGCCACCAGAGCCCACCAAGAGCCTGATCTCTTGTAACGTCCCTCAGTCCCTTCGTGATCTCCACCAGCCATGTCTCTTCTGTCTGTGTGTGATTGGCGCTCTGTCTGCACCCTCATTCATTACCTGGTGCCACCAACTCAGCTCTAACTCATGTTGTTGTCAGGTGCTAGCCAGTCAGTTACGACTCAGCGTCTCCTTCCTCGCTGACCCACCAGCAGGAGAGATGCAGTGACACCGTTCTTGCCCCTAAGTGACTCTGACCCCACACCGTTGCCTCGACCCTGTTGAACAGAGTGAAGCTCCCTGCACAGGGCTGTCCAGCTCGAAATCTTTACAGGAACCCGCGCGCAGTGCTTTCTCCCGTAGGCTGAGTGGATTTGAACCACCCACCTTTCGATTCAGAGCCAAGCACTTAAGCATTGCTTCCTCAGAGAAGTAAAACTGCAGGGTATGGATGTTAGGAATCCATGTCATTTGGGGTGCAGGGAGCACATCTAATCCAGACTGGGTCCATTATGATACCCCCCGCCCCCGCGACCCTTCACAGCAGCCCTGTTACCTCCGTCTGTTGTACCCATTTCACAGAGCAGGAGATGGAACAGTGAGATGATTTGTTCCAACTTCTGCTCTTTAATGGGAGATGGAGCTGAGACTTGAGCCCAGTTCTGAGAAATGACCCCATTGTTCTTGTGCGGAGCCATGGAGTCAGCTCTGGGGCACAGTGAATTCATGGGACAGAGCAGAACAACCTCATAAGGTTTCCAAGGCCATGCTCTTTACAGGAGAGCGCTGGTAGCATAGTGGTTCCGTGTTTGACTGCTGATCTAACAGCTAGTGGTTCAAATCCACCGGCTGCTATGTAGGACGAACAGCCTTGAAAGCTGTGTGCGGCAGCTCTCTTCCACAGAGGGTCACTAGGAGTCAGAATCAGCCGGGCAGCAGTGGGCCTTATTGGGGGGGGGGGAGTGGAGTTTTTTTTTTCTTTCTGAGAGCAGATGGGTATTTTCTTGCACAGCAGTTGGGTTTGTACCTCTCACTTTTTCACTAAGAGTCCACCGTTTAACGGCTGTGCTAACCTCCATACGGTAGTGATCGTGTCTTCACATGGAGATGTGTTGACCCTGAATTCTCAGGATGATTAGACAACTCAAAGACTGTTGGAAATGCAAAAGGTCAGATAATGAGGGAACTCTGGTAGCCTGGTGGCAAGAAGCTGCACTGCAATCCCAGAGATACGCAGTTCAAATCCACCAGATGCTCTGCTGGAGAAGGAGGGGTTATCTCCTCCTGTACCAGTCAGATCTGATTTGACGGTACACAGAAAAAAATAATAATAATAAAAGATTTTTTTTTAAAAAAAGGTTAGATAATGAGACAGCTGACATGTGCAAAGTGGGCGCAGTTAAATCCTGTCCATATGGAGGGCTGTTGACTCAGGAAGTGTCCCCCTCAAGTGTCTCATGCAGGGCAGCCCTGGGCCCTCCGGCTGGACGTGGGGTACCAGGCCAGCCCTCACTTGTGGATCTTGATCTCCGAGTACTCGCTGGTGCTGGTGGTCTCCTGGTCCTGAGGTTCCTGGGGCTTCAGCCCCTGGAAAACGAGGGAGGCGTAATGGAGCTCCTGGTCTTCTTCTCCCGAGGGGGAGGTGGCCACAGGTAGGGGTGGGTCATCCGAGGGACTGTCCGGCTGAGATTCTGGCTGCGCATCCTTGATGGAGGGAGAGAAAGAAAAAAAAAAAAGGAAAAAGAGATCTAAGTCAGTACTTGTGAGGGGGGTCAGGAGAAGGCACGCAGGCTCCCCAAGCTGACACAGAAACAGACCGTTTGGTGTTTGATCCATTCAGCCCATAGACAGTGTCCAAAGACGTTCATTCAGCCACAGGTCTGGAAGGTTTGAGATCTCTGCCCTCAGGCAGCTCGTGGCCCTATCACAGATTCAGGCTGCTGCATGCACTTATAAAACTGTGTTGCATCAGAAACCAAACCTGCTCCCTCCCACCAAGACAACTCCAGCTTGTGACCCGCCCCGCCCCCTTGTGACAGAGTTTGCGAAACCATGGAGTTTTCTAAGCCAGAACTTGGACAGGAACAAATCCCCAGAATTATTATCCCCAGTGGAGCCACTCGCTGAATTTGAACTGCCAACCATGCTATTATTAACCGTTCTAGCACCAGGGCCCCTAACACGCCCAAAGTCACAAAAAGTTACTTGATAGGTGGGAGCAGAGAAAATTGGGGACAGATGGGACAGGAGGCGGGAGCCCGGGAGGTGAGACACCCCCACTGAAGTCATTGGCGGGATGAAGGAGTTTGAACTTGACTTTGTAAGGCAGCTGGGGGGAATCCCAAGACTTGCAAGTTCAGGGGAAGTGGCTGTGCAGAGATTTGGTGCCAGACGTCTGGGTGACTGGGTTCTGCAAAGTTGCAGTTCAAATTTGTGGAAATGATAGTGGCATTTTAAGACCAAAGGCAAACTCTCTGCTTTCAAGCTCATTCTGACCCATGGTAACCCTGCAGGATGGAGTCAATTCGCCCCACAAGATTTCCAAAAACGATACATCTTTTTTTAAAAAATTATTTTGTGTGTGTGTGTACCATCAAATCGAATCTGACTGGTACAGGAGGAGATTGTCCCTCCTTCTTCAGCAGAGCATCTGGTGGATTTGAACCACGTGCCTCTGGGCTCGCAGTGCAGCTTCTTGCCACTAGGCCACCAGAGCTTGCCAAAGACGATAAATCTTAACAGCAATAGTTGCAGATGACTCGATGGCACGTAACAGCAGTCCACAAAGGACTGTTCATAAATTAGCCAAAATTCAGAGTCTTACCAGCTTTAAATGAACTGTTCATCAAAATGTCCCAATTCTTATGTGCTAAATGCTTTAAATAAGAGACTTCCAAAGCCCCGAGGAATGATTAATCAAATATGCACAACTCCCTGGTGCTAAGTGTGTTAATTTAAGAGCCTCTCAAATTCCTATCTTAATCCTAACAGCCCAGCTTCGGTTTCTCATTCTCCTGAAGAGTGTCTGCTGGGTTCAGACTCTCAATCCTCGGGTTACAGCCAAGTGTTTAACCCCTGTACCACCAGGGAACCTATGACGGATCTTTCAGGATCCCCACATTTGCAATTAGGGTCAGAAGTCAGGGTGGTCTTGAAACCCCAACATTTATGTTTGTAGTCAGGAGTGAGTGTGTTCTTGGACTGTCAAATTAGCAGCTGGGGCCTAGTGGCAAGAAGCTGCACTGCAAACCCAGAGGTGGGTGGTTCGAAT